CTTCCAAATGTATTAAATACACTTCAGATAAACTTATATCAATCATAAATACATCAGTAATCTCAATATGTATAGTTTATATCTAAAGAATAAGTATAAATGGACCAAATTTAAAAATCATTTAGGGATGCCTGGTGGCTCAGTTGGTAGAGCATGGGACTCTTGATCTCAGGGTCATGAGTTCAAGCCCCATGTTGGGTATGGAGCCTACTTAATTAAAGAAAATAATAACTTAACATTTTTCTCAGGGTCTCTGTAAGGAACAACTGTGAAAATTTTATAGCAGAAAGTTGTCCCTTGATGCAGAAATGGTACTTTGGCAAAGCAGCCTGCTGCCATTTTAGATGCTGATCGGTTACTGTGGTCAGTGGCTTTCCTGCTTTAGCACTCACTTTACCTCAAATTCTCCATGATTTCTTAGCTCAGCAAGATGATCACGAACCTCTTGAAATCAAAGCTCACGCCAACATTGATATTATTTGACTCTGTTCTTGGCTTGAGAAATAATCTTCAGATTCTCTTTGGTTCATACCAGACACAGAAATGACAGCCCGGAAAAGTCACAAAAGTGAAAATTTTTAATACATCTTTAAATTAAGACCATTCAGCGGAATTGGAGACCGGAAAAATCTAGTTTGTATGATAAAGGCCAAATACTTACCTGAGAAATAATTTCTTTCTCATCCTACAATTGATGTCAGTGGCCTTTTATGCTCAGATTTATCACTGTGTTCTACACATTCAGCCATAGAGCATTCACCCAGGTCACTTTGTACAGAGAATAAAGGAATAAGAGATGGGTGACTCAGGCTTCTCTGTGGGTCTAGGGATTTTGCCAAAGCTTAAGTGATATAGACAGTCTTCAAAATTATGAATGTCATACTTGGACTTTGTACTCATTACCTTTTCACCTTGATAGTCAAGTCATATTACCTTTTATGTTATGATTTTTTTGTTACCTGGGACCTTTTTGCCTTTTCTCAACATTTTTTTCTAGGTCTTAAAACTAATTTGTGTTTCTAAGTTCTTGCTTTGGGCGCATTTCTTGGATTCAGTTGTCTAATCAACTAGATGTATTTTTTAAAGAAGCAGACTTTTAAAAATGATAAATATTGAGAATAGTTACTGAGATTGTCACTTGCGTAGTTAATCAGGAGCCTCTTTGTGTTAGAAAAGTTTTTCTGAATCTTCTTCCATATTATCTGCTCCTTATTAAAAAACAAAAAAAGGAGGAAACTCTGGCTTTAAAATCAAGCTGTGAAAAATGATGTACAACAGACCAGCGACCATTCTCAAAAGCCAGTTTATTTTTGTGTAATGAGAAAAACAGAGAAAGGAGATGGTAGAAGTAATTACCTAAGCTCATTCGATAAACTTTGAAAATTAATAGAGAATATGGGAAAGATGTTCCCTCGCCACCTGTCAGAACACTCTAGGCAACTCCACCAGGCTGAGGTTCTTTAGGTTTGAAAGCCTAAAAGGTGGCACCCAGTGGGTAAACTCCCATGCATTTCATCTGGTCTTAGACCAGAGGTTCTCAACATGAGCAATATTGACATTTGGGGCTGAATCAGTCTTTGTTGTGGGGGCTGTTTTGTTCATCACAGGATGTTTAGCAACGTCCTGACTTTTACCCACTAGAAGCCAGTAGCAGTCCCAGTTGTGGTCATTCAAAATATCTCCAGGGGCACCTGGGTGGCTCAGTTGGTTAAGCATCTGACTCTTGATTTCAGCTCAGGTCGTGATGTCAAGGTTGTGAGATGGAGCCCTGTGTGGGGCTCCACTCTGGGTGTGGCTGCATGGTATTCGCTCTCTCTCTCCCTCTGCCCTTCTTCCCTACCCCTGTGCATGCATGCACTCTCTATCTCTCAAAACAAAAAACAAAAAACAACTTCAGAAAGTAACAAATATCCCTCCCAGGGGGTGGGGGCAAAATCGTTCCCAGTTAAGAATCACTGTCTTAGAGTGACAGCTCTTATATTGGCCTCAACTGTTTCCTACTCTATTTCAAAGACGTAAAGGAAACTGTTTAGCCCATAGCCAACAGACCCATAGGCCATTAGTAATGGCCACAGTAATAGCCCTCTTGGCTATAGAATAATGCTAGAAGAGTTTGAGAGAGGGTTTTCTATCCTGGAATAGAGAAACATAATCAAACATAAAGAAAACATTGACTATGTTTCAAACACAGAGAAACAAATCAAAGTTCAGGTCAAAAAGCAAAACCCAAACTTGGTTTCTACACTGTCTTTTTCTTAATGATGCAATCATTTTTCATTTTCTCCTAGTCTTCAAAATAGGGATTTGAGTTTACACTATTTAAGAGACCTCTAAGGTTCATTCATATTCTTTCCATTTAATATAAAGAAAGGTAAATCTCAGGGAAGGCTGATGAGCAATATATTTAAGACTGCCCGAAGTACTGATATTTTGGATTCCTGAGGCTTACCGCAGAAGTTGGAAGTGACCTTCCCTTCTTAGACCTGTCTTTAATATAGAGCTGTGCATGCTGGGCTGAGCAAGCCACTGCACAGGCGAGCCCACCTGATCTCACGGGCAAACCCCAAATCAGGAGTCAAGCTCTGAAGTCTATGTTCCTGCCTCTGCCAATTAATGTGACCTTGGGACTCATGAGCCTGAGATTCAGTTCCTCCTCTGCAAATTGAGAACTCCCATGATGAATTGATGTGATTGCTGTGATGATTACATTAGCATCATGATCATGGTCACTCGTGTTATTCTAATTTTCCTCCCTCCCTTTCTTTTCTCTCTACTATGTCTATTCCTTGCACATGCCCAGGCCTCAGGATCACAGCCCTTCCATCCTTGCTCAGGCCCAATTCTGAGTCCCAGCATTACAGAAAGCTCACCACCACCTCTCTGGCTTTTAGAAAACCAAGTTCACAGGCTTCAAAAAAATTAACAGAGCTGTCTTTCAATTTCTTACTATTTGAAATGGTTTCATTAAATGTCCAATGCTTAGATGTCCATGCATGTAAAAAATTAAGTTCTCTGTTAAATGAATCAACAAAGTCCTAGAGTTGGGGCAGGAGGAATATTGGAAGTCATCTAGTCTAGCAAGGATTCCTTGTATAGTGCTCCTGGTGTGTGGTCAGGATACTTTCACTGAGAGGTAACTCAGACCCATCTCAGTAAGTTCTAATTCTTGCTAGTGCCCTACTTTGTATGTTTTGTGTTTTCTTCTGGAACAATACTGGTTGCATCTTCTTCCTCATTCACTAATGAGCTACATGTCCATCGGCAAGTCATGGGCCTCTAAGTTTGCTGCATTTAATGGCTTTATATGTGAATACATCAAACACAAAACAATGAAACTAATTCTGCAGCCACACAACCACCTGAAACCTAGTCTCATTTCTTGCATTTAGTGGGGATTGTATAACTTGGAAGATGACTGATCTCCCAGTGATCTGAACCTTCAGACAAAAGGTTTACAGAATACATTCAGATTCACAGTCTTCCTCCAGAAGAATAAGTGTTGAACACACTCCAAAGGGAGTATGAATTAAAACCTCCAGGTATGTCTAGAGAATAGAAAAAGAAACTTGAACATGACTTTTATGCCATTTCTGTATTGGCATTTCTGTCACACTTGTAATTGGAGAAGAAAAATGAAGAATGGGGGCGCCTGGGTGGCTCAGTTGGTTAGAGCCTCTGCCTTCAGCTCAGGTCATGATCTCAGGGTCCTGGGATCGAGCTCCGCATCAGGCTCTCTGCTCAGCAGGGAGTCTGCTTCTCCCTCCCCCTCTGCCTGCAGCTCCCCCTGCTTGTGCTCTCTCTCTCTCAAATAAATAAATAAAAATCTTTAATAAAAAAAAGAAATATGAGGTATGTACAAACACAGGGAATATAGTCAGTGGTGTTGTAATAGTGCTCTGTGGTGACAGACCGTAGTTACATGCTTGTGGTTCATCACGTAGAGTTGTTGAATCACCATGTCCTATACCTGAAACTAATGTAACGTTGTGTGCCAACTGTATTCAAATTAAAAAAAATTTTAAATGAAGTGTATGAAAAGGCTTTAATACTAACACGGCTAATAAGGGGGAGACCCCATTATGTGAGGTATGTGCAACTTTCTCACTAAATTTGAAAGCAGTGCCAACACTCTCTGGGACCATAACACCCACCGGTTTCCTTTCATCCTTCCTGCCAGTGCCGTAGGGCTTTTTCTGGACACCAGAAACACCTTCCTCTGAGGCACTTTCCAGCATCAACTGAGCAGCCCGTGTTGCCAGCCGGGTTCCTGGATGCCTTTTCCATTATGCAATCTTCTTCTGTTAGAATGCGCCACTCCACATAATGTAGGCATTGAAGGGAATGGAATATGGTACAGGAAGGATGTTAGAGATTAAGTGAAATCTTTGTAAGATGTACTCCAGGTGCCCGAATATATAGCTTTATTTATGGACATCCACACTCTCCCATTAATGGTGGGATCTTGAACAATTACCTAACCTATCTGTGCCTCAGTTTCCCGATTAGTAAAAGAAAGTGGTAATCATACTTACATCATAAGGTTATTATGAGGACTAAGTGAGTTTAAGTTAAGCACGTAGAACAATACAGACCCTATAACTACTGTATATGTTTGAAGTTCTTATTGTTACAGAGAAGAAAATGTGGCAATGTCTCTGTTTCTCATTTAATTGGCTATTCATGGCTTTGGAAAGTAATATAATAATTGAGTTATTTTTTGCTTAATTTAATGAGCAGATTTTGTCTCCACGATGAGCAAGACCTACTGCTTTGCTCACCCTAATAGAACAGAAGGTTCTAGATTCCATGGGTACCAGGTTCAATTTCTGCCTCTACAAATTCAGAGCTTCTGAAGTCTTCTTTTTCTGGAGTATGTGTATGTGTGAGTATGTGTGTATGCCCACACACACCGAGAAAGTGGCAGAGATGCATCCAGCTGGTCTGGACTACCCATTCTTCTGTCATTCCTCTTCATAATGAAACCATGTGATTTCTTTCAGCAAGTGCACCTTGCACCACCTGGCCTGCCTTTAATGGATGCCATGCCCAGAAATGATGAAAGGCATTGGCTCTTACAAATGAGACTATCCCTCCAATCAAGCTGAATACTCACCATGGAGGTAGGGCAGGAAATATCATGAATTGTATTTTTTTTTCCCCTCACCCAGTGAAGCCCTAGTATTTCTCACTGCATTATTCTTTGCTTAATTCAATATTTAGATCCTTGAATAAAAATTCTACAAGAGACTTTCTAGCAGTCTTACTGTGATCCTGACCTTTCTTTATGTCCTTACTTGGATAGTAGTAACACCTATATGTATATAGGTGTGTAAAAAGTATAGATATTTAATATATTTACATATGTACATATATATATATATATATATATATATATATATATATATATATATATAATATATATAATTTTGACCAAATAATTTTGGCTCAACACACCCAAGACTGAAAGATATTAGTCATCCTAAAGATAAAAGGAAGTAGTAAAGCAATACATAATGTTTTAAAAAAGATTTTAACAGATTTCCATAGACAAGGCTTCCGGTATTTCTGGTTAACAGCAAAATCATCATTGGGACACCAAAAGAGTGGAAAATATTGGTGGAAAATGTCATCACCTGGTATATATATATATTTTTAAGCCTATCGTCAAGTAAGATCTTGCACTATACCATTCCTTCTTCCTTCTGATTCCAATATAGGGAGTGGGGTTTTCCCACGCCCAAGAGGAAAAAGAATCCTGTTTCCTTTCTCTCTGACAATAATCTTGTTGCAGGACAGATGAACAAGGCAAAGTGTAAGCCTAGCCTTGTTGAAGTGCTCCTTCCCATGAGGTACAAGACCGCACAAATTTGGTGTCTTGCAAGGCAAACCTAGCAAGCAGGAAAGCCTTGTAGGTCCTTCAGCAATCTCCTCTTAGAGATGCCAACACTCCCTCACTCAATAAGCAGCTAATGTCCTTCACGATATCCTTTGTTGTCCAAGCTCCCCCCAAGGTCCTGCCCCCTAAGACCTGCCTTGCATAGTATGCTCCATGCCCATGGCTTCTTTTCAGCCCCCTAGGCTGCCCCTACTCCCTTATGTGCCTCCCAATGAGACATGATGGTGGAATTTCAGACACTGCAGCATGTTGATAAGGGCAGGCAGGATGTTTGGAATCCCATAGAATCGCCTAGGAACGCTGTATCTTACTCTGGGTTGACAACCACACAGGCACTGCTACCTTTGGAGGCCCCAAAAGTTGAGTCATGTATAATCGCTCACTCTCTTCTCTCCCAAACCTTGTATTTTGGCTTCTTTTTTCTTTTCTTTTCTTTTCTTTTTTTTTTTTAAGATTTTATTTATTTGACAGAGAGAGAGAGTACAAACAGGGGGAGGCAGTAGAGGGAGAGGGAGAAGCAGACTCCCCAAGGAGCAGAGAGCCCGATGCGGGGCTCTATCCCCTGGGATCACGACCTGAGCTGAAGGCAGATACTTAACTGACTGAGCCACTCAGGTGCCCCTATTTTGGCTTCTTTATAAGTAGCAAGATGGGTGCTGCCAATCCTTAAGTAAACCCATGCTGCCCCTTTAGTTATGAAGACTCACCGTTTTAGAGTCTATATGGGTCATGTATGCTGAGGATGGGAGTTATGTGCTTAAGATCCTATGAACATGTTTTATAACTCCTCTTCTAAAAGTCTATCACAGAACTATAGAATCCATAGATCTTTCTCGGAGTGAGCTCTGAAGAAAAATTCACACACATACCCACAAAAGAAAGATAAAATGAAAAGGAGACCATGATGCTAATTTTTCTAACAAATGCTAAAGTTGTAGTTTTGGTGTTTTCGTTTCCTTTTCTTTCTTTCTTTCTTTCTTTCTTTCTTTCTTTCTTTTCTTTCTTTCTTTCTTTTCTTTCTTTCTTTCTTTCTTTTTTCTTTCTTCCTTCCTTCCTTCCTTCTTTCTCTTTCTTTCTTTCTTTCTTTCTTTCTTTCTTTCTTTCTTTCTTTCTTTCCTTTCTTCTTTCTTTCTTTCTTTCTTTCTTTCTTTCTTTCTTTCTTTCTTTCTTTCTTTCTTTCTTTCTTCTTTCCTTCCTTCCTTTCTTTCTCTTTCTTTCTTTCTTTCTCTTTCTTTCTTTCTTTCTTTCTTCTTTTCTATTGTAGTATATAATTTTTAAAGGGAAAAATTCATAGAGACCAATGAATTTGAAGAAAAAGATCAGGAGGGCCTTTTGTTTGCAAAATACAAAGAAGAACCCTTTTCAAAACTGTGGCTTAAGTGATGTCAGTAGTTACAAAGTCCCTGGAGCTGATGAATGACATTTTAAGCCATGATTGACATTCATCCTTTCTTATCATGAGCATTCTTAGATCATTCCCCAGGGAGTTCTAAAATTTTTCTAAGGAACTTCTGCATCATTCTAGAGTAGCATTTGCTAAACTTAATTGCCTTAGGAAAAAAAACACTCTTTTATATCATTTTGCATAGCAACATCCCAAACACAGAAAACATGATGATGCATGGAAAATATAAAGTCTGGGAGAAATACAGCTATGGAGGGACTAGTCATGTGTTCCCAGAAATCACTTGAGGACTGTTTCTGCTCTCTCATGACAACTGCCAAGGGCCAGGTTCATCCATGGTTCTTTTTTTTTCCCCTGAAGCTCTGCCTTAGCAATTCTTACAATTTTTATTTTACTCGGAAATCAGGTGAAAAGGAAAAAAAAAATCAATGCTTATTGAAGGAATAAAAAAATCTTTCAAGATGATGTGTACTCCCATAAGGATGGGTTGCATATTTTAGAAGTATAGTAAGTATGCACTGGTCTGAAACAGTTACCATAGGAACAAAACTTTTTCCCCATTAGAAGGAAGGGTAGTCACTGTAGTAAATTTCCACACAAATATCTAAGCTACACCAATTGAGCATCAGTTGGGAATCAAATCCAACATACTGTGTATTTAATAGGCTGATGTTAGAGGGGGAGGATAAGGACTCTAATATAAGGAAAATTTTTGCACATCCAATGATCAAACTAGGTTTGCTAAACAAACCATCAAAATAGGCACTTTGGTGCCCACTGCATTTTTTATTCTGCTCTAATTTCCCAGAAGGGCATCACCCTAACTCAGCTAAAAGCTGTGCCAAGCAATATCAAAGAGGAGTCTTACAGCATGGTTCATAAGAATTTATTCTGAAGAAGAGAGAAAATGTGGCAGAGCACTACATAAGAGGATACATAGGGTTCTGGGAGCAATGGGAAGTGTCGAGTGGGGTTAGAGTTATGGATGCTTCCACAATGAGCTGGATTTGAGTCTAGCTCTAAATGTAAAGACATTTTAGGACTACCTTAACCTTAATCTCTTTATTTCACATAAGAATACATGAAAAAATCTGCATATTAAGTAGAAAAAGTCTCTTTTCCTATAAAATAAAAATTCTAAGTGATAAGAAAGCACTGTGACTAAGATTTTTTTTTCTTACTGGTACCAAAAATGATACATCTACAATGACATCTTAGATTTAATGAGATATGGGCATAGGAAAAGGATGAATAAGGAAAATATGATCTTGAGGATACGTAAGAGGAAAGCAGAAGTTCAATATGTGAGGTGGAGTAGGGGTGAAAGATCATACCACATAAGACCCCCAGAAAAATATTGGTTAGCAAATATAATAATTTTAGATTTAGTTTTCTCTTAAACATTTGAATAAACCATCTAGCCATGTGAATTCTGATGACTTTTAAAAGAAACTAACAATTTAAAATAGTTTTAAAATCTAACTATTTTAAGAAAATAAGTCTCAATGTGTGTATTAAAAGGATTGTAATAAGAAAATATCAATCTAGGGGTACCTGGGTGGCTCAGTCAGTTGAGCGTCTGACTCTTGATTCTGGCTCAGGTCATGATCTTGGAGTCGTGAGATGGAGACTTGCATCAGGCTCTGCACTCAGCTGGGAGTCTGCTTGAGATTCTCTCTCTCCCTCTCCTTCTCCTTCTGCCCCTACCCTCTGCTGACATGCTTTTTTTTTCTCTCTCTCTCTCATTCAAATTAATAAATAAATCTTTAAAAACATGTATCAATCTAAACACTCATTATAATTGAATTGAATTGAATTTATGTGAAAAATACCTCAGTCTAAAAAAATCCCCAAATACCAGATGCTGAATCAATGCCAGGTAATTACTTAAAGTATACTTAAAATTCTGAGAGAATACTAGAAACCTAAGACTAAATGATGATAGAATAATGTATCTTTTACAGAGAGCATATTCTACTGAAGGCCCTTGGCTTACATTTTACTTTCTTAGAATTCTCCATTTCATTTAATTTTTGAAAGCATAAGGGTCAATTGTCATCAATTTCTTGGCTCATACTGGAGTAACTAGAAATTTTGAACCCTTAGAATCTTGGCATGTTCTTTATTTTACTTTTTATGCTATAAAATATACTTAGAAGGCTTCTTACCAGAGTCTTTTAGGCTTTACTACTGTATTTTAATTCTCCAAAGGGTGTGTCAAAGAGATTTAAAAAAAAAAGCTTTGGGTGCATTACAAAAGAACTCCTGCAGTTAATGCTGTAGCAAGTTGGTGATCTAAAATCTATGATAGGGGCCCCTGGATGGCTCAGTGGTTAAGCGTCTGCCTTCGGCTCAGGTCATGATCCCGGGGTCCTGGGATCGAGCCCCACATCGGGCTCCCTGCTCCTTGGGAAGCCTGCTTCTCCCTCTGTCCCTCCCCCTGCTTGTGTTCCCTCTCTCACTGTGTCTCTCTCTGTCAAATAAATAAAATCTTTAAAAAAATAAATAAAGATAAAATCTAAGATAATGTTATGATTTCAGGCTGAACTCACCAGTCTTACTTGCTTATACCACCTGTACCTTGTAAGGCCCTCGGGTTAGTGCCGAACATCATCTTACTACGTGGGTGGCAGGTGTCTGTCATCTCAATAATTCTGCAGAAAAGCCAGGGAATTTGTTTGAAAGTATTTGTCCAGATGAAACCATATGGGGCCTCCAGGGTGCTCTGGGCCTGAAGCCTAAGCCTGCTGGCTGTGGAGAGCCACAGAGCTCATCCACAAGAAAATCTGATGTCTCCTCAAAGCCAGTAAAGATAAAAG